TCTGTCTGGGGGATCGTGTTAACTTTAGGGGTAAAAAAAAAAAAAAGCCTCTCCAAAAAAAAGTCACTTTCAAATTTGATAACTTAAAAATGATATCTCATTGTTTATATTACTTTTCTAGTTAAGTTAAACATTTGTTTGTACTTTTTACAATTTCTTTGATTTTAGTACGCTGTTTTGTGTGTAGTAAAACTAGAATTTTAGTGTTTTTCATCTCAATTTCTGTGCATTCTTCATCTATGGAGAGGAGATAGCATTTGTGATATTTATTGTAAACCTTTTTCAGTTTCTATGTACTGAGTTTTATTTGTTATATGACACACATAATTTTTATATAAATTGCTTTTTCTCTTTCAGTTTCTTTAACTGCTTTTAAACCTAAAGATGAACGTGGTAAGTACAGTATTCTCTTCACAGGAACACTAGCTATCAGTACTGTTTTTTTGGTGTGTGTGTTGTGAGTTAGAATGTTACTTACTGTCTTCTTGGGTTTCTAAAAACCAAACATTAGTTGACTAGTCATGAACTACTAGTGAAAGACCCATTTTACTTGGTTGCTAGACTTCTATAGACAATGAGACTAAGTTGGCCTTTAAATTTACTATCTTCATGAATGATTTTCCAGAACCTACTGAACAATGTTGGGAGATTACCAACATGTTATGAGGAAAATCTCTTTCCATCCTTCATGGAATTAATACGCGCCAAAAGTATAAATTCATGACAGCCATCAGTCTCTTCCTCTAGGGGAAAAAAAAAGTATCAGTAAAGGTCAAATAAGATGGTAGTCTTAAATTAATCACAGTCTGGTTTTGAGCAAAGTGCCTGGAAATCCAAATAAAAGAGCTATCAGTGTAATTGAACAGTGCTGTTAACCTTGAGAAGACTACATTTATCTTTAGAGAGTGACATTTTTTATGTTTTCTTTATTGTTTTATCTTGTTATTAAATATGCTTCTCATAAGTTCTTTCTGCTTTTATATGAGTAGAGTTATACAATTGAATCTATATAGAATACATATGCAAGTGAGAACTTATATGGAAATATAATTTGTGTTGTGGGTAAAAGAGAAAATGATAATCTTAAGTGCTTTAAGAATAACAACATAGTCCTGGAAATCTGTTATACTTACAGCTACATAGCTTAGTAGACATTTATGGCATCTTGTCCGGATAAAACTGACATTAAATGGGACTTCTCATAAACTTATCTCAACTGCAAATGGGTACTTGGTTTGAATTTTTAAAGGTATGACAGATTTTTCCTAAGTAGCATCCTAATTTGATCAATTTTTATCTTTTTTTCTATTCTAGGCATTCCAGATATTAGCACAATTGATAAAAGAATCTTTATGAAGAAATCAAACCTAATCAAACTACTTGTGGATTTTTCAGATAGATTATTTCTGTGTTTTGGCAGGAAGAAATGATCATTGAGATCAATACCTACAGATTGGATCTCATCAAGCATGTCATAGCTGTAGTAGTTTACACAAGTTTCAAAGTGCCTTTCAGTTCACCATATTGCCAAAATACATTTATAATCTACTTATGCCTTTTGATAAATTTTCAATCTACAGAAAATTATTTTAATCTTACATTTTTTATAAAGAACTATATGGTTGCTTTATAATTCTTATAAATTTTCTTTGAAACTAATATTTTTTAATAAATTTTGAAAGTTTAAGGATATAATTAAGTTCAAAATGGTATACAATGTACACTTTTTCTTTTTAGAAAAATTTAATTGAGAGTTTGTTGCAAAAAATTATTATAATTTGATCATATACTAATAAGTGATATTTAGTAAGAATACTATGCATGTTATGTTATGCCACAAAAATTTCTTTGAAATAAAATTTTGAAGCTGACCATATCTATAGGTATCAGACCTAATTTTATTTTTTAATAGTTTTTGCTATAGGTAGTGTGTGTTCACCAGAGAGAAATGGAGTGGGGAGGGAGAGAAAAATCCCTCCTCCAGGGAGATGGCCACACCACAATCCTTTTTCTCCATTCTCCTCTTGGGACCATGAGCAGTCACGCACACATGCTTGGCATGATTTGCAAACCAACAGATCCGGGGCTGCAGAATCAATCATATGGAATCCAGCACCTTAGCCTCCAAGACCTAATCTTTTAACTTTAGCTAATGGAACATCTAATTATTAACGCTAAGTAAAGAGGAGGGGGATCATGAAAAATTTGGAAAAAATTGCTACATTGTGTTTTCTTTTTATTTTATTTATTTATTTTATTTGTGTTTTCATAATACTACATAATTTACAAAAATGCATTATCAGTTACATAATTTTTTGCTATAGGACATGTGTGCTTGCCAGAGAAAGACAGTGAGAGGAAAAGAGAAATCACCCCCTAGTGAGGAAGACCATGCCACATCCCTTCTCTTGGGGATTTTGAATATGTATATATACTCACCCAGTGTAATTTTCAAACCAGCAGGTCTAGGACACCTACTGTGATTAGCCATGTAGGAGTACAGTGCCTTAACCACTATACCACCTCCTGGCCCCCTAGTTACATAATTTAAATCTAATCTGTAGTAGTTAGATATACTTTTTTAATGATTTTCTTTCTCACCTTTTAAAATCTTTGTTTTCCCCATTTGATTATTAAAGTAATATATACTTATTTTAAATTTTTCAAATAATCCAAAAAGTATAAGGAATAAACTAAAAGTCACTCACTGTCTTACTTTCCAATGATAACAGCTATCAGCATTTATCATTCTTCCTTTGAGATAATATTTTAAAAAATAGGAACTCATTGTGACAATATATCATAAATAAACCTATGTGAGTTTTTTTCCACTGTTTAGCAAATTACCACAGTGCCCTAGGAACCACTAGTTGTAAAGTTATAAGCTCTTTTGAGGAATTAGGGGGCTTATGCCATTGTTATCATACCATCCCTTGTGTACATAAACATCTCCATCATAGTTCTTATTTTCCTGATATCTGGATGCGATGTTAAAATTTCCGACAATTAACATTCTTGAGCAAAAATCTTTACCCCAAAGGTCTAAAGAGCTGACTCCAGCTCACATCCCTGTGTTGAAGGCAACTAGCAGTAGTTATTTAAGAGAGATAAAGAGATTCATCCCAGAGGAAAGCTACAATGAGGAACCTGCAAATTCTAGATTCCAGAACTGGGACACAATAAATTTCTGTTGTTTAAGCCACTCAGTTGGTGGTATTCGTTACACTGACCTAGTAGACTAATACTCTTTAGCTACTCTGGATGCTACGGTTCCAGAATAGGCCAAGTGCAATCCCTACTCAGGACCTTCTGCACAAGTTCAGTCTGCCTGGGATGCTTTGCAGATACCCACATCACCTACTCCCTCACTGAATTCTGCTCTGCTCAAATGCTACCTATTCTGGGGTCTTCTCTGAGCTATTAAAAAGCACCCTGCTCTATCATTCTCATTATCCTCTGTTATTTTTCAGTAAAAATTGAATTTAAAGAGGCCTCTTAACAAGTTTAAATAAGTATTACATGACTCCTACTCTCATATATTTTGAATATATAGCCTGCTTCTCTTGGTAACTTGATTTGGCCAATTTGCTTTTTTATTTTTTTTTATTTATTTTCCTTTCCAATTTTTTTATTCCCAACTCACCTCATATTTTTTTTTTGAGAGATTTTCACTGTAGGGCGCGTGCACTCGCCAGACAGACAGAGAGAGACATAGAGACAGAAAGCGAGAAATCACCCCCCAGGGTGGATGGTCACGCCGCAATCCTTTCTCCTCCATTCTCCTCTCGGGATCTTGGACATGCACGCACACGCGCCCGGCGTGAGTTTTAAGCCACCGGGTCCGGGACACGAACGGCGGTCGACTACGTGGGAGTCCAGCGACACAGCCATTACGCTAACTGCTGGTTCCCATCACCTCATATATTTTTGTGAACTGTTTCTGGCATTTTTTATTTAGAATTTAGAATTGAAATTGAAATTTTACGTACAAACCTGAAATGTGGTGATACTTTTAATGGCACTAGATTGCCCAGGTGATACGGTAATGTGTTCATTAGAGTCTTTTTAAAAAGGCAATCCCAGTTAGAACCTAGTGGCATTCTTATTGGCTTTACAGCTAAAGATGAGCAGAGGCCCGCTCATAGCACAATAGTTAAGGGAGCCAGATCCCACATGGTCAACCGCGATTCGTATCCCACCCCCAGAAGCTTGAAAAACACGCCTGGCCTATGTACATACATGACTAAATTTCTGATGGCATGAGAAAATGGAAGAAGGATTGATTGCAGCATGACCACATTCCATTAAAGGATGCCTATTCTCTCTGACAAGCACATGTACCCTCTGACAAATTTACATATATATAATATGGTCATTGGAAAAGTCATGACACATTTTTGCATAGAAATACATAGAAAAATATGCCATGACTTTCCCCACCACCCAGTACACACATAGTTAAGAGAGAAACTAAGTGAATGGAAAATAAAACCATGTCTCACTGTACTTCAGAAAGAGTGAACCTGATTTGAACATTTGCATCTCCGGATGCTCTCTGTGCTTGTGGCAGTGCTGCTATCTGCCAGCCAGCTTGCAAAGATTGCCACAGGTTCTCCTTTTCCAAGGCTCCTTGAATCCCATCTGAGAAAGAAGCAACAAAATAGTAGGGGGCCTGGAATTTCCACCCTTCCAGCAACATAACACATAGCAAACAGAAGAAGAGAAGGAAAAAGGGAAGGGATGATAGATCTGCATCATACATTTTTACCTAGTAATTTTAATTGTAAGAATTTGTTTTAAGGAAATTATTTATGGACTCTCATCACAGCAAATACTGATGAAATAAAGAACTGAGGTAGCCACACAATTTTCCTTCCAGTGCCCCCACTTGGCTTTACTCCCTTCACCTGCCCGAGTCTCACAGAGCTCAGTTTAAATTCTACTTTTTTTTTTAAGAGAGTTTTGCTATAGGGTGCACGTGCTTGCCAGAGACAGAGAGGCTGTCCAGCATAAATTTCAAGTCCCAGGTCTGGGACCCAAACTATGGTCAGGCACATGAGAGTCTAGCTCCTTAACCTCTATGCCACCTGCTGACCCCTTAATTCTATTTTCTGAGAGGAGCCTTCCTTGGACACCAAGACCAATTAGAAGAGTATTTGGTTGATTACTCTTATAGCTTCCTCTCTTCTTTCATTTGTAACACCACAATAATAAGTAATTATTTCTGCAATTATTAGTTTATTTCTACCTATCCCCTTCTCCCCATAGACCATAATCTCTGTGAAGGCAAGAACTATACGGCTTTACGGAGTTTAATAGGTATCACATTCTCAATAAATATATGTTGCTATTGAACTATGCACTTTAAGCAAATTGTATGGTATGTGAATTACATCTCAATAAAACTGTTTCTTAAAAAGATTACCAAGAACAGATAGTGATGATGCAATGGTTCTAGTCCATTCTATTGCTAACAAAAAAATACCTAAAAGGTGGTCTCCCTATTGGTTAAGGAAGCCAGATCCCAAATGGCCAACCACGTTGTTCAAGTTCTGGCTCCATCAGTTTGAAAAACATGCTTGGAACATGTTTGTGCACCCAAAATCCTGATAAGGTAGAGAAATGGAGAAGTGAATGTGGTGTGACCACATCCCATTGAGGGGTGCTTGCTTTCTTCCTCGCTCTCTGTCTCCATTTCTCTATCTTTCCCTGATGACTGTACACATCTGGCAAATTAAAAAAAAAAAAAAACATCCAAATGGAGAAGTGACTAGGTAGTTGGAAATCTGGAGTTTGAGGAAGAGAGGTCAGTTGCAGAGATGAAATTTGAAAGTCACCAGCAAATGACGGTGTTTGAACCTTGAGCTGCAATGATCACCAAACATAGAACAGGTCAAGAACTGAGCCTGGACCTAACCAACAGGAAGCATTAGAGAAGACACCAAGTAGGTTGAGGAGGAGCCAATGAAGTAGAAGAAGCAGGAGAGTGTGGCACTCTGGAAGGCAGATTAGAAAGAGCAGCAAATGGGGAGAACCACCATGCCAAGTGCTGCTGAGCAGTCAAGTGAGGCCAGGACTGAGAAGTGACCCACTGGATTATGCACCACAGAGGTCATTGCAACCTGGACAATGCTGGTTCTGTGAAGTAGATGAGGGTTGAGAAGCAGCTTGGAGTGAGCTTTAGAATAGCAGGAAAAGAACTGCACACAGCGCGAATGAACAAATAATTTGGTTTTGGAGGTTTGGGAGGAACTGTAATCCGAGAAGCACAGATTCCAGCACCACGTGAGTAGTCAAAGGAGTTAACAGATGAAGTTGATTTTATAGACAGAGATAGGAGAAAACATGAAGTACAAAAAGTGGATTTCAAAGTTACTTTCCATGTAAAGTTTAAGACAGGGAGCTCCTTTATTATGCCAACTCAGGTAGATTAGACTCCCATTTTCATGAATAAGGGTCTGTTTGAGA